TTTCTTTATCCAGTCTATCATTGATGGGCATTTGGGTTGGTTCCAAGTCTTTGCTGTTGTAAATAGTGCTGCAGTAAACATACGTGTGCATGTGTCTTTATAGTAGCATGATTTATAATCCTTGGGGGTATATACCCAGTAATGGGATCGCTGGGTCAAATGGTATTTCTAGTTCTAGATCGTTGAGGAATCGCCACACTGTCTTCAGTTGAACTAATTTACACTCCCACCAACAGTGTAAAAGTGTTCCTATTTCTCCACATCCTCTCCAACATCTGTTGTTTCCTGACTTTTTAATGATCACCATTATAACTGGCATGAGATGGATACCCTGATAATTTCTAATAGCCGGTTAATTGATCATACTAGAGATTCTGAGTTGGCTATAACTAAAAGGCCTTACTTTAAAGAGATTACATTGGGATAACTTACTATTCCAGTGCAGCTTTTCAGGGAGTCAGGGGCTAATAATATTAGCATCTTACCATGTGCTGGGCAGTGGTCTGGCTCTTTGCATATAATTCTCAACAACCTAATGAAATGGATATTATTATTAAGCTCAATTTGCAGCCGGGTGCAGTGGCACACACCAGGAGGCTGGTAAGAGGATCACTTGAGCCCAGGAGTTCAAGTCTAGCCTGGGCAACATAGTGAGACCCCCACCTCTTAAAAAACAAAAACAAAAAACTCAGTTTGTAGATGAGGAAACTGATTCACAAAAAGGTAAAAGTAACTTGTCTTGCCCCAGTCTGTACCCATAACCACTGCTCTAACGCTAAAAGAACCACATGATCTTATCATTGGTGCTGGCTTTAGTTACTTGGCTCTTACCAAGTTTTGATGCCTCTCAATTCATTTGTGGCATTTCTTTATTATAACTAACCAAAAAGCATCCTAAGTTACCCAACCAGGAATCTCTACCAATATATGAGATTTAGAAGGTAAGAATTCTTTTTAACAAATATGTGTTTACCCAACTCTAATTGGAAAGTGGAAAATAATCTTCTAGCAATTTGTAAACAATTAAGATGAGAAGATAGGAGATCCTGAGACCTTAGTATACTTTGAAAAACTGTTTGGCGACATGGTAAGTTGTGCCTTTACCCCTCAGGAGACTTTACTTTGACAAGGTATATTAAATATGTAGTTGTTTTTCCAAACACCCTTGTAGGATAGGTTAGTATTAATAACCCTATTTATGCAGGAGATACTCTAAGTGTAGAAAATAATGTTAATATACTAGGATCTCATAGTAGTTCCAGAATCAGAAATACCGTTTTTGGAGTTTTACACTTAGTTGATAGTCTTGTAGTCTCTTACTTCTAAGAAAAACCAAACTGCCAGGATTTGAATTAGATGCTAAATGCTTTGCAAGCAAGTAACAGCATTACACAGAAAAGTGTTTTCCGTTTTCACCTGGGACCTTGTTACCTAAAGCATTTGATTTAAATAGTGTTGTTCCTTTAAAGAAAAATCGTACCTCTCAAGGTTAGTGTAAGTCATAGAATCTCCCCATTTTGTGTCAGCAAAAAATAAGTCTTATGCATAGAAGATGACTTGCTACTTTCCAGGTATCTTTCCATTTTTCCTTCTCCAATATTTTCCTGTGTTTCTCTAATGAGAACATCATTCCGACCTCTGCCAGGAAAACAGGCAATATTTTTCCACAAAGGCAACTTTTTTTAGTTCCCCTTTGAGCTGGAGCAGACCTATACTGTAGTCTAAAGAAGAGAAATTTTAAGTTCTTCTAGAAACTGGAAGGAGTAATTTTAAAAATTAGGCAATGCAACTATCGCCAAACTATGTATGCAAATCATATCAGAATCCTAAACTGGTCTGGTTTTTTTGTTGTTGTTGTTGGTTTTTTGGGTGTTTTGTTTTGTTTTGAGAAGGAATCTCACTCTGTCACCAGGTTGGAGTGCAGTGGCGCAGTCTCGGCTCACCACAACCTCCGCCTCCCAGGTTCAAGTGATTCTCCTGCCTCAGCCTCCTGAGTAGCTGGGACTACAGGCATGCACCACCATGCCCAGCTAATTTTTATATTTTTAGTAGAGACGGGGTTTCACCATGTTGGCCAGGATGGTCTCGATCTCTTGATCTCATGATCCTCCTGCCTCCGCCTCCCAAAGTGCTGGAATTACAGGCGTGAGCCACCACACCTGGCCACACTGGTCTGTTTTTAATAGTTTATTGTAAGAAAGTTAGTATTCACAATTCTAATCTTAAAGCATGTAGCTTTTATGTGATCATTTTGATGCCTACTTCCAAGAAATACCCTAACACAAACCTCTTATTCTTTTTTTATTCCTCCTGTTCTCCTCCCTGATTCTTCTCGTCTCCCTCTGAGAGATGTTGGCCCCAATTTCCTGAATTTGAGGACAAGACATTCTTAGAATGCACATGGCTTGCACAAGATGTCTGAGTTTGAGGTCATGCAGAAGGAGTAATTTAGCTTCAGGGTCCCTTGTGCACACAATATTTTATAAATTACCTACAAGGTATTTTTTCGTATTGCATAAGTTTAAAAAGATGAGACCAATTAAATTTTTACTGTGGGCAGAGGGTGGGAGAGAAACAGAAGAGAATCAAATGTTGAAGGAGGAAATCAACTTCAGAAAACACAGAATTTCACTGGGTTCTAGTGCTAAAGGTTTGTCCTTTGCTTTTATAATGTTTTATACAACCTGTGTCAGTCAATGTGAAGAATACTTTAATCAGCATCATTGTCATAATTATTTCCTCTTTGCTTTTAATAGTCATGCTTATTTATATCCCAATTAAGAATTGTCTCTGAGAAGTGTGATGTTCTTCATAATAAATTATACTCAATTGGGTGTGCAGAGTTGGTTGATGTCATGATTCTGTTTTATTTTAATGCTCTTATGTTTAGCTCCCCTGACTTGACTACACATACCAGATGGTGAAAACAGAAGTGAGGGCAAATTAACAACCTCTGTCCTGTCATAGGAGAATCTGGAGAAAGAAAGCAACTACCATTGCTCATGACTTCTTTCCCATTAGCCCTCCATGGGCGGACATGCACACACACACACACACACACACACACACACCCCTTGCTCATGGCTTCTTTCCCATTAGCCCTCCATGGGCAGGCGCACACACACACATACACCACACTCAGTCTTTATCAAGCTGTACTTTTCACTGCTCCCAAACACAAATGAGAATTTCTGTCCTTGTTGCTTTGCCCAACACTTTATTCTTCCTTGCCTAGAATGCTGCCTTCCCTACTGACCGGGGGAAGCCTAGAAGCCTTGTAATAAGATAAACCTGATCCAGATCTCAGATCTACTACTTTTGACTTTAGGCAAGTTACTTTATTTCACTGAGAATCAGTTTCCTCATTCGTGAAATGAAGATGCACACGGTTTTTATGAGGGTAAAGTGGATGAAAAAATATAAAGCACTCAAAAAATATTTCTTCTATTTCCTGTAGTTCCCCTTCTATAAGTCCTGCCTATTCTTTAAAATTCGAGTTCTAAGCTTATTCTCTGAAGCACTTATTTGGAACAAGTATTCTTTGTTGTCTTGTATTTACTGTCTCCCCCAGTTGTTTGTCAATTTCTTGAGAGCTGAAACTCTTAAAAGAATCCTCAATTTCTGACATAGTCTTGTTAAATATGGTAGCCTCCAATGTATAATAGTGTAAAAGTGGAAAATGGAAAGTGACTCTCTAAACATGTGGTCCCCTTACTCTAAAGTCATTAAGTTGGAAAAGGCTTTGAGTCCATTACATTTTCTTGGCACAGTAAGGGAGATGGCATTAGAAGTACTTCCGTAAATTGTGAAATCTAAGAGAGCCATCAGTCAAGAAAGAGACATCTTGTGTTTCCATTCATGTAGAGAGAGCTTGATGTGGTGAATCTGTACATATAGATAAGATGATTGATTGATTGATTGATAGAAGGATAGATAGATAGATGAATAGATAGATAGATAGATAGATCGGTCTATCTTTGAGACAACATTCTCTAAAGAATAAACTTAGAGTGTGTTTGAATGTTCTGGTAAAGGAGAGCAGCTACTTCTACATTCTTAACCAAAGAATTTTCCTCTAACAGGAAAGCTGTGATTCTCCATTGGAAATGCATTTTCATTGACAATGTCCATGGAACACAGCAGGCAAAGAGGATAGCTATTGAGCTTGCCAGATCAGCTAGAACTAACCAAGGGTAGTCAAAGGAGGGACAGATGTCAGCTAGATTGCTGCCATATTAGATACAACTATCTGGTAACATACTTTCCTACCCAGAGAATGACCATCAGGTAGAGCTGAATAGTGGGGGTTTTGGTTCATACTAACACAAAACTCTTAATAGGATCAAAATCCTTTAACTCATAGGTAAAAGTCGCTGTAGAGGTCATTCCCACTGTATGTGCCAAAAGTTATTTTTATTGACATGACCAGAACTTGTTTTCCAAAAGAAACATTGCAAAACATTTCCAAATGTTACATTGCAGTCTTAATTGTTGACTTTCTGCCATCATCTCCCTTTAATTCTTTGGCTTTTAATTTTTAATAATTTGTCATCTTTTGATATATCTCATTTTAAGCCATGATGCAAAAATAGTATTTTTCTCTGCTATAATTTATCTCAGACTTATCCAGGTATTAACCTGTCATTTCTCACAAATAGAAGGAAAACTTTTTGATGATATTTCTAACTTCAAGAAAATATTTCATAGCCGTTATGAATGGAACAAGGTCTTGGGGCTTCATCTTTGTTGTTACAGTTGTTTTTATCCTCCCAAATACTTGACAATAGCCTACAACTGAAACTTGAACTTCATTGCAAAATCTTGAATCACAGTAATGATCTGGCTTTGGGTGCTGCAGCTCACTGATTTTTGTATGTTCTGCTGAAGAAAAACCAGCATTGTCACATTTTTGCTCTTCTTGATATTTTAGGACCTTGTACTATAGTACTACACAAGAGAGATATTTCTAATGTGCTATATCTGTGTCTCTTGTCATTGAGGTAATTGTCATGAGAAAACCCTGGACAACAGCCATGACAAACAGAAATATTTTGACAACTCACAGTCACTGGATGCTGCTGAAGAAGAGCCCTCTGAGAGAGGAACAGAGGAGGACCCTGTGTTCTCTGTTGAGAATTCAGGGAGGGACTCAGATGCCCTTAGACTTGAAAGTAAGTTGATTTGACCTAAGCTGTGCTTCTGGGGAAAAATCAACTCTCAAGCTTTAAGCTTAGGCTTTTCTCTACTTTTAAGAATTTGTTTTCTTCTTTTAACAATCATATTGTAGCATCATGAGGGTGACCCCTAGGTGGTGAGACAGAAGACAAACTATAGTGTGAAAGTGTTCTTCACACTTTCTTTGTTCTCTACTTCAGTGTCTTCTGTTGCTAGAACAAATCTGATTTGTTTATGTATCAGTCTTCTTAATGTTACTAGTATATTGAGTAAATCATTGTAAAAGGAACATAAGTTGCTTTTACACTAACCCAATAAAATATGAAGATTTGGAATAATGGGCTTACCTATTATGCCCTCTCCCAAGATTCCATTTTATGACCACATTTTGAGCTATATTGTACTAAATGGTTCTTGCTTAGATTATCAGAATTGCCAAAATGCATGACTTCTTTTTAGTATTCACCCACTTGACCACTTTACTGTACCTGGAACTATGCATAACTCCTCCCCACTTCTTGAAACTCTCTTCTTTCCTCTTGGCTTCTGGAATATCACTTTCTCTTGGCTTTCTTCTATCCACACACCATCTTTTAAAATTTCTTTCACTTACTCTTTATTCTGTCCTTTATTTGTTGGGTTATCCAGGATCCTGACTTTGACCTATTCTCGTCCTTCTATGTATTATCTCTTGGTGATTCAAATACCCTTGACTACACCAATGACTCCAGACCTATATTTCAGCTAAGACATTCTCTACAACTCCAGATCTTATTTCTACTTTTTTTTTTTTTTTTAGTGTACTCTTCATCTGGATGTGCCATAGGCACTTAAATGTAACATATCCAGAATTGAACTTCTCCTCATATGGGCCCTATTTTCTGAAATACTTCTAATTTCTACATTCCTGATCTCTGTTAACAACAGCACAACTCACCCAGACACCACTGTATCCAGTCAATCTCTCAGACCTGTTGCATCTATATCTCTTCATTCATTCCCTCTACCACTGCTTGAATTCAGACTTTCTTCATTTCTGCCTGCACTATTGCAGTAGCGTCTCAATTTGGCTCTCTAAATCTAGTCTTTTATTTTAATCTGTATGTGAAGAAAGATAATACGTGTAATCAATACAGAATTTTAAAAGTGGAAACAACCAATGTTACTAATTTTTTGTACGTCCAAAGAGTTGTTTCTAAAATGTAGATCTGATCAGATTTGCAAGTTACTTAATCTTCCTGAGCCTTTCTTACCTCATTTATTTAAAAACAAACCAACAAAAATGCTTCATAGAGTGGTTTTGAGTATTTAAATGAAATAACTTGGTGAAGCATTTATTTTAGTGCCTGGTACTCAGAACCCAGTAAATGTTCTACAAACATAGGTATAACTGCAACTTCAGGAGTCAAAGTCTTTACAAGCACATACACATAGTACATGATCAGTAAACATCTGTTCAGTTCAAGGGAGCCATAATATATTTGCACAAGAATTGTTACAGGAAAGGTTCCCTGTTTACTTTTCTAGGTTATCTGCTCAGAGTTCCCAGTTTTCTCTTGCTATACTGACCCAGCTAGAAAAAGGAAGAACACCACTGGTGGCAACGAATACTTATGATTATTGTTTTCTGCTCAGAAGAGAATGATTTCCCTACCTACCTTAATCCGAGTGATTTAATCTAAGTCTTTTGTGCTTTCTGATTACTGGCTTGAAATTTTATGTCATTGCTTATATGTTAAATCATAAGCATATCTGCAGCTTTCCAATCGACTTCAAACCAGATGACTGCTTTTTCAAGAGAACCCTAGGACTCAAAACAGAATTGCCCAAGCCCCTATGGTGGTAATCTTTTTTTATATTTTTGAGAAGGAGTCTTGCTCTGTCACCTAGGCTGGAGTGCAATGGCGCGGTCTCGGCTCGCTGCAACCTCCACCT